CCTTCGCCACAAAGCGAAGGTTGGAGACCGGGCGATAGTTAGCCAATACATCTGGGTCCAGGGAAGGCTTCTTAAGGAGGGGCCTCACCACCGCCTCCTTTAAGGCCACGGGGAAGGCGCCCTCCCGTAAAGAAGCGTTTATAATTCCCTGGAGCCAGGCTCGTGTACCCTCCCGGGCCGCCAGTACCAGCCAGGAGGGACACGGATCTAGTAAACATGTGGTTGCATTCAGCCTCCCCAGGATCCTGTCCACGTCCTCGGGAGCCACAGAGTCAAACTCCTCCCATATAATAGTCTCAAGACCTGCTCCCGTCTCCTCCCCCGGGGCCACCCAGTCGGAGTCTAAACCCTCTCGGATCCGAGCGACTTTGTCATACAGATATTGAGCAAAATCCTCAGCCCTCCCTGGCAATCTCTCTAATAAGGGGAGAATATATACTGTCCTATAAACTTGGTATAGCTCACAGTACAATAAAACATGTGAGATATCTTCGACTTCTCCTTTACCACATATACATACCCGTTCTGCTATTAGTGTTCTCTTATACCTGCCCTGTAGGTTGAAGGGGAGGCAGTTACTTTCCTTGGAAGGACCGAGGTTTAGAACTGGGAGGGACTAAGCTGGGAATGGCTTGGAGTGGGGTGGGTTCTTGGCTTAATGACTGGCGAAATTTGGTTAATGATGGCAACGAAGACTGCAGGGATTGCTATCACTAAGCAATGTGATCACATGATGTTGAGCTTTTCAACAACATTGTTTAGCAATGGAAATGCCAGTCCCATTTGCTGTTACAACTTGAGGACTACCTGTAAATCAACCACCCATATCCTTGGAGGCCCATATTTTACGCAAAAAGAAAGAATCGGCATATGAAACAACAACATTGCTGTTTTAACTAGACAAAAGAGAAGAGAACGATAGAGAATTGTAACTTATCATCACAGATGCCATCTGCTCGCTTACCTTATAGAAGACATTATTTTTCAGTTCATTGACACCAATTCCAGGTGTTGCATTGATTAGTTTGTCTGCCATGTTCAGCTTTTCAGTTTCTGGAAGCTAAAATAATTGTCATATTTTTAATATTCATTGACAGTTCTTTTAAGGCAACTGTACCTGAATAAATAGATTAACTCTACAGAAGTGTGAAAATTATATGATTAAAAAGATATTAAGGGTTAAAAAGGAAGACATGCATGAAAATGATAAAAAGTAGCACACAGTCTAATATAGTTGAGTAGCAGCAAGCTTCGTGTACACATACTTTCACTCTGTTCCCATATTGTGGAGGCTTTTGCTTAGTTTTACTTAGCAGAGCATCATCTTGTCATCCTGAATAATGAATGGTAATTATTTAGACCAAATAAACTAACCAAATCCTATTTTATGGACCAGGATCATTTCAACATCCCATAGTTCATGTGGATCACAGCTCCAAAGCTCACTGTAGCCTGGGCTTGTCATGTGGAAACTATGACTTACCACTTTATTGGAATGCAATTATGGGTGTGCCTGACATGTAAAATACAGTTTCAAAACCAAAAAAAGTCATTGTAGCCCAGCAATTCTGCTGAATCTTCATTCTGACCACAATTTGGCCGAAACAAAATCTGCGGGCACCCCAGAATGATCATTTGGATCAAGCAGAACAATGAAATGTGTCACTCTCTGTGTCCCTTCCACCTTCCCATGACCTGGGTGTCACCCCATCTTCACAGTATTCTCACTTCTTTCCCTCCCTCTCATCAACCACTGCTACCAGTGGCCTGTGCAACCATTTCTTCTTACAGTGGTCTCAACAGTAAGGAAAAAGCTCCCAACATGGCATTTCTGCTCAAAATATTTTGGTCATATTCAGAAATAACCCAATGTCATTCTATATATGGACCAAAACATCTAAAATAATCATATTTCAGTCTAAGTATTGACTACCCTGAAACCAGGGTTATGTACAGACTTTTTCATACATAGAAATGTTGCAGTCATTATTTCTTTGACAGTAGAGAATTTTAAAGTCATAAAATATTCAACTCATAACTTCGGCAAACATCAGGATGAAGTATAATAAATGGTGTAAAGCTTCAGAATGAAGAGCCGAAGCATAAAATTCATCCCATCAGACTGTACATAATCATAAGAACACGTGTAGAAGTACGTTCTGTAATAGTGTAAACCACACCCAAAGACAGAAGTTTATAAAGTGAGAACACAATGTTTTAATAAACCTTTTTGAACATTTAAAATGTCTAATCTCTGAATTGCTCAGTTACTGAAGAGATGGCTCTGTCATTGCTCCAGCTCACCCAGGAAATCTGATGAAAGGTTAAGTGCAATGATTTAGAAAATCCCAAGTGGTATCAGATTAGAAAACAGAATGTCAGTTCTAACAACTGGCATTCACATATGCACATATTAACCATGCATTCAGCATTCAAGTTCTCATATTCTCCAGTTTTGTTACAGTGAAGCAAATTTTTGAGTTCCAAAATGATTAATATATGACTGCTACCTTCCAATCCACTAATACTACAGCACATAGCTCAAAACATGTACAAGATATTGAACTGCAAGAGAAAAGAGGATTTGTGCCTTTCCACAGCAAAATTAAAATGAGCTCTGCATTATTAAAGCTATTTTATTCTTTGTATTAGTTTGATTTTCCAGGATTCTGTATGTTAGCATTGCGAACATAAAATAAACAAAACAATTTGTTTTATTCAGACAGCAGTTCAACGAGCATTTCATTCAAAGGCTATACTTTTAGAACAGCAGTAGATATTTGGCATAATATACAAATAAGCTGAAGGTACTACAAACTTCTGCACCAATGTTTTCAGCTTCATTTAGAACCAACTGTATCTGGCTGAACATCATAAACAGAGGTCTGCAGAAATTGTTGCATTTTTACTTAAACGCTTCATACAGGTCAATCCTTCTTGCTTTATTATTCCTCTGAGTATACTGTGAATTTGTTTTGTTGTTGTTTTTAGTCCTTAAACATATATTTAAAACTTCTTTCACTAAGGATTGAAGGAGACTCAGCTAGTGCTGTCAAACGTGTTGATCCAATAGCTATTCCTACTGTAATAGCTAAAAAGCAGTTCACATTTATTAGGTTTAATCTATTATGGGACTACAAAAGAGACCTTTCTGGTGGTGGCCTCTTCTCTATGGAATATCATTTCACCAAAGGTACAATTGGCCACTACCTTTCCTAAAAGGCCCCGAAGATGTAGTTTTGTCAATGGACCTGGGGACCACAAATGGAAATAGAATTGATCAAGTGGCTGATTTAATTGTGTTGTTGCTACCCTGGGGGGGGGCAGGGGGTGCTGTATATGGTGTGACTTGTATATTGGTTAGGTGGCCATATAAATTTTTAATAAATAAATAAATAACAACCAATTTCTGAAAGTGACCAGAAAAGGAAATATGCAAAGTTAGTGTCCTTTCAAAGATACAACTGCAGGTTGAGGGAGATGGCTATTCTCTCATCTCTGAGAGCTCTAAACCCATGAGAGTCTACTGTCCTGCAATCTCCTCACAAGGAGCAACTGTCTGGAGCACTTGTGGGTAATCTCAAGTCCTTTCTTTGTCCAGAAAGAAATCATCAACCAGCAGGACTATTCACCAGCTCTTTATTCTGTCATGCTTGTCAGCTCCACTTTGCACTAAACCATTATCCATCTGCCATTTCTTTCCTGAAGGTCAGCATACCATGTATTTGTGCCAGGTGAATCTTACATTATGAATCCCATTCTATCAAGTAGCCTATTCAAATTATTTTTAAAAATATTTTTTTTTAATTTATATCTGTAAAACTCTAAGTCTTTGCATTTAAGACAGGAGGTGCATAGTTAGGTTTTGGTTCATTCTGAACTATTTTTACAATTTACAACTCCAACTATAAAAGTACTCTGGGGAGAATCTATTTAGATATCTCTTGAAAATCAGCATCTGTTTCTCATCAAACCGAGAAAATTAAGAAATTGAAACTCTTAATGAGCATGGTGTTTTTCACCCTAAGTTGCTTCCATTATGTTTATGGCAGTAAGAAGAGGCAACTGTCCAGTTAGGCTTCAAACACATTTTGCTTTTATCAAAACTGTCGAAACTACACCATATGCCCATAACAAGCCCAGTCAAAGACAATATTCTCAGAGCCCACTTAATTAAACTTCTCCATGGACAACATAGCTATCTCTGAACATTGTAGAACTAAGATAATAAAAAAAACTTAAGCACAAGTATTACATGCAAAATGTGTAGAAAAGACCCACTGCTACATGTTGGAATAGCAGCAACGCAGAATTAGGAACAAAGCAACTTTGCCGGCACTATGCTTTGACAGGTGGAAAAGGGAAGGTATTCTTTTCAACGATTTTTCTTTCTTCTCCAGCTTCTCTATTAATTGTTTTCATTTTTTTTCTTTCCCTTCCATCCCATCAAGCCAACTTGCAATTTTCATCAGCCACAAGAAAACCCTGGCCTGCCACTATCTCTGGTTTTCCCATCCATGGTTCCCTCTTTCCCGCCATACTATCCATTCCTCTTTCCTATTTTTCTCAACTGCAGGTCCTCAACCTTGGGGCATCTATTCCTCCTCACGTCCCACTGATGTTTCTTATCCATCTTTGCTTTGATTAATCAAGGTCCGACACTGACATTTCTAGCACCCGCCTGATCTTCCATGACATTGCCAACAATTTGCTTGCTTACTGATGCTCTATATAGCTGTAATTAGCAATTCCCAGCCATGTCTCCCTATTCCACTTTTCACGGATTACAGGACATACTTCCCATTGAAGGCCTGACTTGTAGAAACCTACCAGTTTCCCTCATTAGTGCATCTCTGGGGCACAGCATGCAAATTTAAGTGTGAAAAGCTAAATAAAGGCCAAGACCTTGGCTTCAAGCATTTGAGGTTACTGGCAAGGTAACTGCTTCTTCTATCTTCTTTTTGGTAGGAATGAGAAAGAAATATAGGGATACGCCGGCAGCATGGCGGTATAGGTACCAACAGTTGGAACAGTAGATACGCTTGAAAAATAACATATAACGGAAAAACAAAAACTGTGCTTTAATAAAAGTAAGCCAGGGACACATTCCCTGGAAGCAATAGATATTCTATCTAAATCGCTTGGTTATTAAACAAGTTTTATATAGAAAATAAAGCCATGTGCCTTTTGCTTCCTGTCTTCTTACATCTGGTCTTTCCAACACTATGATTCTGTGACTGGGCAAATTTATTTATTTATTTATTTATTTCTCCTCTGTTCAGTGTCCAAAGAGATGCCTTTGGTCCTTCCACCAGAAAATGAGCAGATGAAAGCCCAGAGTCAGGTGATTGTCCATCATCATGGAATAGCTTGCCTACAAAGATCCAGATAGTTCCTTCATTTTTAGGAAGACAGGGGAATATGGTTTTATTTCATAGGCTTAAACAACTGGGCATAAACAAGCGTTTACTGGGCTGCCTACCTTGGATCTTTAGATTAGGCCATCATTTCAGAGATATTTCTTTACCTGAACAGAGAAACCAAATGACCACTGGTAGGTAAAAAAGCAATGGGAGAGGGAATAATTCCTGTCACCATGCCTACTGAATTTCCCTGTGGAAGGTTGGCAGCAGCATCAGAAACCTTCCTTCCTTCCCTCCAACTTTCTTTCTTCATCCCTCCTACTATCCCTTTCCCTCTCCTTCCTTCCATCCTTTTCCTTCCTATCTTCCTACAAAATTTAGACTTAACTTATAAATGTTTTATGGTATCTTGAAATGAAGCTCGTAATTCACCATCTAACCAAATTTCAATTTCTGTAGGCCTGCAACTTTAAAGCAAAATTCTTTATAGATCTGCTAAAAAAATGCTCCCAAAATTCAAAGAGGCTTTCTATCAGACAAAATCAACTGATTTAAGGAAGCCACAAAAACATTAACGTAGCATTTTAAAAAATCTTCATCTGGCAGATCTGTTGGAGGCATTCAAAATCCAGAACTTCCAATATTGCTTAAGCTACCCAGAATTAGAATATTTTTCTATTCTCTATTCACTGTGCCA